GAACCACCGCCCGAATACTGGCGCACAGTAGGGAAATAAAAATTATTGTTCAAAAAATTGCAATCTGCAGCAACTTTTGAATTTTTTTTCACCGCCGAACGATGCCCTCATACGCTGGTGCTTCGAGTACTTGCCCCCCAACAAGCCGTTTCTGTACGATACAACTACCTTAAAATCACGATAAGAAAGATAAAAAAAACCAAAATTGATGTTCACTTAATTTATGATGCTTATATGAGGATTTATAGATTTTCGATTTTTACTGAAAATTAACAATTTATCATAACTTGAATAATTCATTCAACACGTAATTCCTTATCTACGAGATTCTAGATTTCAAATATTAAACAAAAACACATGAATCAAATTAGCGATCCAATAAAAGTGTTACTGATTAGATAGATGTGTGAGAAGAGGTCAGAGTCCAGTCAATTGTAGTTGAAAAGAAAAATATGTTATTATAAGAAGAACGACCGTATATGAATAAATCAAATAAAATAAAGAATGCCGAAAAGTCAAAGTTAGATGTTACGAATATATTTAATCAATTTTTTGTTCTAAATGTGATTGCGCGCCGATAATTGTCGGATTTTCAACACAATCATTATGAAGCATTTTAATAACCCTTTCTAAATAAAACTCCTAAAAAACGGAAAAAAATTTATTGTGAAAAATATTATCTCAGCTAGGTTTCGAACCTGGGACCTCTCAACTTGCCGGGAAATGTCTTAGCCAACTCGATCACTGAGGCTTTGGAAATATTCCTCGTAATAACCGATATGTATAGAGAGAACGCGTTATTTAAGCCGCGTGTATAAACATTATAAGAAGAAGTTTCTTTCCGTTTTTTAGGGGTTTTATTTAGAGGTTCACGGTTTTTCGATTTGTGATTTTCTATGAAACAAACACCAAGGCAAGAATCTGAAGAGCTTTTTAAATGTGTTGAGTTCACGATGAATAAAAGGGAGTTGGTATCAATTGGATATGTTACAAATGAACCAGCCATTCACAGCGCTTGAACAGTGGAAAGCTCCAAGACACTGTGAGTGGCTGTGTTCAATCGTAACGTAGTTAATCGGAATCCTTCTATAAAAGAGCCTCTTCTCCTTCTAAAGTTTAAGACTTGTGAAAAAAGGCGAATGTGGGAAAGAAGCAAATCAACCGCGGTGAGAAAGAGGGATCCTAATTTTCTAACAGAAAATAGATTAGAACTAAGAAAACGAAGCCCGATAACCTGCAATAAAAATTCAAAGTAGGACAGGGCCCTTATTATGGAACAAGGTCAGAATGGATTCCGATCGAAATTATTCAATTATTCCCTAGATTTCTATTGTGTTTTTTAGGGAAAATAGAATAATTCTGACTGGAGTTCATTCCAACATGTTCCATGATAGGTACCACTCAAGGAACCACTCTGGCATTCTAAAACCTTCGTCAAGGAAAAATAGGATCCTATAATCTGTAGAGAAAGGATCATTCCTCCCAGAAGGATTGTCGAGATGACAATTTCAAAAAAAAGAAGGAGGACAAATTAGGCAAAGATAACTTGTGTCAAATTGCCCTTGGGTTCATGCCAATTTGAATAAGCAGCATGAAACAAACGTATTTCCAGGACTACGAGCAGATATTTTGTTGTTGAAAACGCCTGAAGCCCGTATTAGATGAATTGATGATTACGTTTAACATTTGATGATTAACGGTCCTCTTTAGCCAATCACAATGAGTTCGCTGCATTGATTAGTTAACAGAACCAAGCAATCGCTCATAATAATCGTCTAATAAGAACTTTACGCTAGATATCGACCGGCATTCCATGATTATTTCCTGTTTTACGTTGCTGATCCCAATAAACAAGTTCAATTTCTGAAGTATACATGGTGCGTCACCAAAATCCGGACAAATCAAACAATTTCTTTAAACAAAATGTTTTTAATGAAAAATGAAATATTACAAAAAAATCTTTTTACATAGCACTTGGGGGATCCCTGTAGAGCACAATTATTCGATATATCCCCCATTAGCTTGAACGACGCCCTCTATTCTCGGTCTGAAGCGTTTGCATGCACGTTGTAATGTAGCGTTGTCCATGCCGACGAATGCTGCCTCAGTAGCGGTCCTTAATGAGTCTCTCACATTGGGAGAGACTTGTTTGTAACCCTTTCAACTACACTCCATACATAGTAGTCCGAGGGATTTAAATCTGGGCTATTGGTAGACTAGAGGCGAATAACTTGGCTTGTCCTATCAGCCTCAGAAAGCATCCGTCATATCTTTAATGTGTACGATTTGTATCGAAGATCCTCCTTGACAATTCAACGCATTGTTGCGTCGCAACATTAATTCGCTTACATCAACAATTGATGCTAATTTTCGCAACGATTGTCCTGGATCATCCGAAATCAGCGCTTGAGTTCTTTCAACGACTGCGGTGCGATCTTTCGAGTGACTCTTTCTCATTGACATACTGGACCTTCGTTGGACTGTTCTAAAGTCCTATATTTTACCACAACGTCATAAACGGTTGATTTCGGGTATCCAAAAAACCAAATTATTTCCGTACCCAAAAAACCGAATTATTTCCGTTGCCCAGCGCGAACGCCTTCGATGATCGCGGCTCTTCGATTATATTCCGCACTTGATTTCAACATCGCGGCCATTTTGAGAATATGACTGTTTATTAGAACCATCAGGCTTTCTTAGACGCCAACAACAATCTCCGGCGGAGGCATAATATAGCGGAAAATTTAAATTGGAATTTGTCGGGTTTTGGTGACGCATCCTTAGTGTGTTTCTTTATCATGCATGTGAGAAAGAAATGTCGCGAACATCCGAGACTGCGGAAAAGGGCTACGGACACAACGATAATCTGAACACAGATATATATACAATATATATCAATTCATGCGTAAATAAAATTTCTAATTAGTGTTTCATTGTTGTTGATTACATAATATTTGCTAGTATTCATACATCTTTTTTCCCTTTCTAAATTTATCAAAATGATTTCGTTTCTATTCTCTGTATATGTCGATAAGTGCACTAATTGCTTTAAAAGAATGATCGACGCGAGAGTTAGAGTTGTGTTAGATACATATTAAAGTTAAATAGTTAAAAATTATTAATCATCAAACATGCGCTTTAGATTTGTGAACGCACGCAGAAGGGAAAAAGAGGGAGGGAGAGAGAGAGAGAGAGAGAGAGAGAGAGAGAGGACGGGAGAAAGGGTGGGAAGAGGAGAGAGCGGTAAAGGGGGGGGAGAGAGGGAAAGTATATAAAGAGAGCAATAATGAAAAAATTTTTAAATTATATTGTATCTAATAACATAAACGTACCTCGATAGAAAAGAGATCATGATTCGACGTTGCAAACATCGTTAATAGCGCATTTTGATGATTCGTTTCAAATCATAATTAGAATTCTAAGATTAACAAAAAGAAGAGCGTAAAATCACAGCACAAGATGTTCTTTGTGATATTTAATATATAATTACGTTTATAAATAATTTAGACGTTTCGGCTACAATCTGGCCATCTTCAGTAAAATTACAAATATTCATAAAGCACAGAATTTATATAAATTTAACATTAAATTCAGCGGTCATAAATATAAATACACATTAACGCATTCTTTCCTCTTGTAAGAGTACATCGTAAAACGTGGTTGCAGCGCCAATTATCATATTGCAAATTATGTAGAACAAGAATTGCCAGATTCTGTTTTATAGATAAAATGATTAATCTTAAGCACTTTCTTCACGCAGATGGAAATTCGTCGTGACATTGTATGACAAATAATAATACATAATTACTCTTACAAGAGGAAAGAATGCGTTGATGTATATTTATATTTATGACCTGAATTTAATGTTAAATTTATGTAAATTCTGTGTTTTATGAATATTTGTAATTTTACTGAAGATGGCCAGATTGCCATGATTAGCCGAAACGTCTAAATTATTTATTATAAATTATATATTAAATATCACAAAGAATATCTTGTGCTGTGGTTTTATGATCTTTAGTTTGTTAATTTTTGATTTATAAACCACGATTGTTATAATTATATATTAGGTGTTGGAATTAATTCGTAGCGTTTTTTAATGAAAGAATGTTATTTATTTCACATGAGCATTAAAAAATACATTAATGAAAGTACTTCCCATCACTTGTAAAACGCTACGAATTAATTCCAACACCTAATAAAATTCTAAAAATCTTCAGTATTTATCGAGAAATATTTCTGTTGAAATATTTACTAATACGATATTCGTATGCGCGTTACTTATTATTATAATGTTGATTCTATTACTAATAAACAACAGTAACTCTTTTCCTTTTAATATTTCATTTAATATTTGAATCGAGTATTCCTAGATTTAAGCAATTCTCATAAGCTGTAGCTGCTTAAAAATGAGATAAGGATCTTATTTATTATTAATTGCAATTTTAAAGTTAATTATATCTTAGAAATTATTATATGCGAAAGAACACATGAAGCAATTGAAATCTATATCTTCTTTTCGACAATAAAATTGCCTTAATTCAATAAAGCAGGCTTACAAATATTTTTAAAAATAAAGTCTTTATTTTTAAAAATAAAGTCTTATTTCAAAATATTTACTTATTAAGTCTTGTTAAATACATATGAAATCTGTTCATACGATCTATTTCCGTAACTTGATAAACTTGCTTCACCAAATTAAAAAATTTTCATTAAATACAAATTACTAGAATTATTAAACGTTTATTTCCACATTTCTAATGATTTGAAATGTGGTTAATATGTTGGCAAAAGCATATCGCCCAACCCTACAGCAATTACAGTAATCAATTATTCAATTTTCGCAATATTAGAATATTTTCTGACGTCTCCATCCCTTTCTTCTCATACGTGGAATAGAATCTTCATAAACAGCTAAATTCGAGTGATTCGCAACGTTGTCGAGAGAGAGAGGGATAATTTGTAAGTCCGAAAACCGACAAAAACTGGCAAATACATACCGGTTTGCGAATGCGGAGATTCTATTCCACGGTGTCCGTCTTCCGGCCTGAGAACCGATGAAAATGTCGGTGCACTCGAAACCGTTACAGTCGGCGGCTTCTCAGTCTTATCGTTCCTTATTAGTTGATGAACCGGCGGTGGACCTGCGCATAAAAGAATACTCGAATTCACTTCAAATGCGACAAAACAAAAATTTGAGACATTTTGCAAAACAATTGTAAAATAAAATATGATCGCGTATAAAGTTAAATTCAGGGTTAAGTAAATTAATGTTTTTTTTAAATAAAGTTAAAGTTAATGGCTTTACAAAATTGATAAAGTTAAGTTAAAAGTTGAAGGAATAAAAAATTAACTTAACGTAAGTTAAATCAATATTGTATTAACTTAAGTTTAAAAAAAAGTTAATTTTGAAAAAAATTATTTTTTAGATCAAAATATCGTATGAGACTCGTGATAAAGAAATCGGGCCAAACATAAACAACACGTTTCAGACTGTTAATTATGACACGCGCCATCGTAACTTAAATCGTAGGGCAAAGGATTAATATAATTTAATAAAAATTATGTATTATCTAGAATGCCTCTTCACTCTTATGATACACGCCAAGCGGCCGAGATCGCCGAGAAAATATTTTCGGTCGCTAGAAACAAACGACCACAGAGAGAAGGACAGAGCCAGATTCATTGTTTTGCTAGACGAGCATAGTTCGACGTGTCCGCGCGGAGATTTCCGGATTACAATCGGAGCTTCTATCTGTTTTTGTTTTTTCTCGCTCTATCGAAACAACAGAAATTGAAAGAATTTTAAATCACAAACACGGTTGCCAGTTCTCCGTTTTTTTTTTTTTTTTTACAGATTTCGGTTTCTTGGACTAATATTCTATACTCCAGCAGATGTGAAAATCTCCAATTTTCGTCTGCTGGAGTATTAAATATTAATCCAAGCAACCGAAGTCTGACAAAAAAAAACGGAGAACTGGCAACCGTGTTTGTAAATTGAAATTCTTTCATTTTCTTTTTATTAAATTATATTAATCATATATCTTTCTCATTAATATATAATTGTAAAAATGATTTCAAAACATAAACATTGATGAGATATAACAATAGTTTACGACTTTCCGTGCGCTGTATGTCCGCGTTCGTCGAGATGATCCACAAGAACTCAGCGTGGTCTCAAGCGTTGAGTGCAAGATCAGAATATTGAAAATTTTATGTTCGGTCCTGCTTTTTCCTTTTTTTATAATTTTTTTTAAATAAATAACGTTATTAATAAACATATTACTCCAAATATACTTTTTATAAAATT